TTTATTCACCAGCATAAAAGCTTAGTATTGTGAGGAGGTACTGTGTAAGGACTTCACCAGAAGATTCATTTAAAAAAAGACAAAAAAAGAGACACAAACCTTGTCATAACCTTCCAGTTCTCTGAGTTTCTTGATTTCAAAGAGGTTACCTTCTACTGCAAGCAGCGAGATCTGGGAATCACTGAGGATACTCTGAGGAAGCATGCTGAGTTCTAAACAGTTTTCTTCTAAACGCAAGACTTTCAGGCGTGGACAGTGGGAGATCTGCACTGAGATCTGGGAAATCTGGTAGAAATAAAAAAAAAACCAAAAAGAAATGGGATTAAAATGTTAGTGATCCGTGATTACTTAAAGTGATTTGTGTTTCAGACTAACGTGAAACAATTATCATGTTGTAATATGAACTACATTAACAGTAACTACTTAACAACAATGCGTAAGCAACAATAATAATGGTCAAAAAATCCAAGTAACTTTTTTTTCTTCTATGATGACAGGCAACCTACACATCTGTTTATCAGATTCCTACTCAAGAACTGTTCAAATAATTTTCAGTATGATAAATTCAGGATTTGTTAGTTAGTCAAATCAGGCAGTTGGATGTATCAGTACACAAATTCTAGTTATGATCCCTCATTTCTGTTGTGTCCAGGAGACGTCTTTTAGCTATAAAGTTTTGATAGTCTCAGCTTATGTTCTGTGGATGTACTAAGTCCAAGATAAACCATGCCCTACATCTACATGCCTGTAGTATCTCAGTTACCAGACCTGATTCTGATTCAAATTGAGCTCAATAGCCTGCAATTCTCCCACAGTGTCGGGTACATTTTGGATCTGGTTTTTGGAAAGATCCACCACATCCAAGTGGCGAAGACCACAGAGTTGTGTAGGCACAGTCCGAAGCTGGTTTCCAGAAAGGCTCAGGGTTTTGAGAGCCAAAAGCTGTCCAAATGCAGCCGGTAGCTGCCTCAAGTGATTGCCATTCAAGTGTAGTGTTTCCAGTTTTTTCAGTTTACACAGCTCCTCGGGTAAAGCAGCTAGAAATAAATGACAGAACAAAGAGATGACCTAAACAAAAAGCAGTAAACATTCATACCCATTTAATTCAAATAAGATTCTGCATGGAAAACGGTGCTATATTACAGTAATTTCTCACAGGATTCCTCCCCATTTTCCAATGAAGGTACAGATCCCTGAACAGAAATTTAAGCCCACTAACAACACATGCTTTTTAACCATCTTCCATAAATATCTTTAAAATAATGTGCAGACAAGGCAGACCTTGCCTTCAGACCAGGCTGAAAACACTATTCAGAGGATTTTAGACTATCAATCAGTTATACTCGTTACTAACCACTTTACCAATGTATTCTACAACATTTGAAGTACCACACAATTCACAGCTTCAGGTCTGCTGCAGCCCTTTAAAGGTATTACTCAACTCACTCAAAAGTAAGTTCTCAGATAATTCATACCGTATCATACCAGCATATAAGCCTCACCAGGTAAGCTCTGCCGGTGTTCATTCGTTCCTCATTCTACCTACACATGTATATAACCCATAGCACTCCTTGAGTTCCACTATAGAGTCAGAGGTTTGTAAATCACATTTGTTTTCAAAAAGGCAGATAATACACAATTAATGCATAAAAAAGTTAGTTTCTTCACCTCATTCTATTTTTTCAATAAAGTTGGATGTTTGTCCAACAGAAACCAAAACAACCACTGAATGGCCAGCAACATTTTCTACAGATCATCTTCATTACCTGTTCTCTATGCAAGTACTAAACCATCTGACACTGTTAAACCTTCAGATCAGACAAGTCACAGCACAGAAACGTTTTATGGTTTTAAGTACTTACATGTCATTGTAAAACTGATAATACAACTAAGTTGGCCACTAGTTTTGAAGAATTTATGGGTTTGGGTTTTTTTCCCCCGTACATGAATTCCAAAGATTTCAGTTTAGGTGACTAAACTCCCCATTTACATCCTGTGAGAGTTAAATCATTACATTTAGTTTCTGAGCAGAGAAGTCAGGTTATTATTTTAAAAATCTGTGGAGATATTAATTAGCAGGCATACTCAGTTTGTTGTTGTTTAGAACAAGGCTCTTCAAAAAGGAAAATTTTCCAATGAGTGGTGGCAAGAGCTCTATTTTGTTGTTCGACAAGTCTATTGTCCTTAAGTTGCTTGTTAGCTTCTGCAGATCTTCAGGAAACTATGGGGGAGAAAAAAGATACAGCATTTAAATAGTTGATACAACTTCAAATATTCAAGTTACACAGCTTAAAATTTTAATTGAAATTTGTATTGCTATTACATACTGTCATATGTATTACAATGTCCAATCACCACAGTCTGCAACTAAGTTGGCAAATTTGCTTAATACATAGTTTTTAAAATATTTTTTCATTTGAGTAAGGAAAAAGGGATATAAAGGAGACAGTTGAACATCTAGGAAGAGTAGTTTTTAAGCCAAAGAATTTAAATTAAAAAGGGAGAAGGAAGTATACCATGACACAAGCTCGTTTACGTTTTAGTCCTCTTGTGTGTTTCTCTTAAACATGCCTGCCATTTAAAAATATTCTACAGCTAGTTAACAACTCTATATTTTAGCAGAGTAGGATTGCGAAGTTTTTCTCTTGCTTTCCTTTTTAAATAATTATGTAAACCATTTTCCTTATTCTTATTTACATTCTGTACCACTTTAATCTGCACTTGGCACTGAGCAAAAAAAACCAAACCTGACAATCACCATCAGCGAGTCCTGGTCAATAGACCCGTGATTTTGATTCTCCTTTGGTTTGGCAGAGGAGAAGGGAAGAGAGAAGGTAGGATAGTGGAAGAAGATACTTTAGAAAAGTCATGGAAAATTACTGCAATATTGTTATTATGGCTATCCTGTGAATTGTTACTAGACTTATGGTTCCAAGTCATTCTGTGTTTTTCTGCAGTTGAGTCAAAGTCAAGACCATTTCTGATATAAGAAACTTCAAGATGCTTCCAGCCCAGTGAACAGCCTGTACAGACTATTCATATGACTACAGTTAAATACAGCATAAGTACCTAAATGCGACAGATTGTGGAGTATCTTTCTAGGGAACAATACAGTTATAAAATTTACTTTTTTTCCCCCAAGTTTACAGCCCTTCTTTAAAAAGCATAACATCATCATAACTAGTACTTCTTGAACATACATGCACTCTAAAGCATAAGATCAGAAGCATGCAAGTGTCCTGACAGACAAATCCTCAATCAGAAGACAGTGCAAGCAAAAATCTGCTCTGCAAAAAGGAAAAAAAAAAAATTCTTGAAATAATACTATCCATCACTATTTATGAGAAATACATGTACACAGTGCATTATGATAACGAGGTGGGAATTTCTTTCCAAAATTGTCAGTCATACACACAAACAGCCACGTTTCCACTACAGTTACATTACCTCTGTCAGTCCCTTTCCTGTTAGCTGAAACACACCCGTTTTCTGTGCTGTCTCCAGGTGAGCTTTTAATGCACTATTTCCCATCCTAACAGTTCTTTGTCAAGCATACAGAGTTTGAGTGATAGTCTCAGGGAGTTTCTCTCAGTTATTCTGCACTGGAGAACTGCAATCCAAAGTCTCTGTGATAAAGCAAATGTAAAAGTCATTTTATGTGTACTGTCTTCAACACCACAAGCATCTCAACATACCGAACCGTTTCACTGCTGCGTTTTCATCTCCCTTATAACTAAAGCCTAGAACTTAAAAGACTTACTTAGCTTAAGGTGCCTTCATTATAGCAGTTTGAATATTGAAATGATGCAACAAATATAGTTAAAACTAAGTGGGAAAATTGCATACTTTCCACATTTCGCCTCTTTCAGGGCCCAGTAGCGTAAGGAGATTCTCCATGGAGACTGGCCGTGATTTTAGCGGCATCTACCAGCACTGACCTGCTTCCAATACCGCATTTTGCTTTTTTGGAAACGTGTTTCATTAAGAGACTTAACTCCTTTCCTGTGACTCTTGATGCAGACAGACAACATCCATCCCCCGTAACTCCCGCAGGGTTTAATCCCCGCGACAAACTACGCCGAGTTACAGGCCGAAGGATTAGCGTCAGGTTTGTAGCCGGGAGGTGGGGAATAAAGCCTAACACAGCACGTAAACAGCCGGGACGAGGAGCCCAAGCAAAGCAGCACTCCCTGCCGCGACGGCTAGAAGCGGGTCAGCAGGACCCTCGGCACGGGGCAAAGCCAGCAATGACCCGCTGCAGGCCCCGATCTCTCCGCCTCACCCCGGCCCCGGCCCCGGTCCCGGCCCCGGCCCCGGTCCCGGTCCCTCCGCCTCACCCCCGTCCCGGCTGCTCCGGCCCCACCTGGGCCTCTTGGCGCTCACCCTGGCCCCGCCACCGCAGGG